CAATCAGATTCTCTAAGAGGTACAGCTAATACCAACGGGCTGTTGATAACTGCTCTCCACACACCCTTCACCAATGCTGTCGGTGTCGAATTGGCCTCAGCAATAGACCTTTACATGCAGAAGAGGAAAGGCGGTTGGGACTACACGTTGGAGTACGTCTTTAAAGAATCGTCTCATAAACTCAGAGATTACCACAAGCATGCTATCCTCGGTAATTTGCAGGACAATCGTATAATGTGATTCACACTGTGTGAATCTACGCAGCATCATGATTCTATGTCTACGCGCTGCGGTGAGGTGGGTGGGGATAGTCTCTCTACCACAATTCTGATGCTTTACGCACAGTTCATATATCTGGAATGATACGAACACTTTAAACGAAACCAATTATCTATTTATATTTTCCCGTTTTTCATATCCTTCTTCAATATAGCGGTAGTGTGGTTCGCGGACTCCTGCTTCCCATCTCTCATCGGGATGCAGGTCTACGCATCGCTTCCTCCTAGCTCGTTCACGAGCACACTTCAACTCGAGGAGCGCCAAAGTGAAGATTCCGCTGGGCTCATGGTCTACTATTGCAGGGCTATCAATGATTATGTAGTGGCTGATTATGGTATTGAACAAGACCAATATTATACGCTTTCATATCCTTTAATACTGTGGATGCTGCTGCGTTCATAAATGAAGGTCTTTCATTGAAGGACACTTAGTGAGTGCCACTCACAAGATCATCTTGGCTTCTTACGATGAGACTCGATCGGTCGAAACACCTGATCGTGCACATCTCACTGCCGCAGTCACACGCAGTGACACTGCGTGATCGACAACAAAACAACAGTACCGACCTGCATCTGTTCCTCAGCCGTGATCATCACAGCAGTAGAGCTTGGTGGGATAATACTCATAGCTCAATGAGCCAGGCTCGTGGAATATCAACTCAACACGGATGATATCCGTATTATGTAGGAGGATAGGAAGAGAATAGTTTTGGATGTATTAGTAGAGAAATTACAGCTTAGCTTAGTAGTGGGACAGCTGAGTAATGGGAGAGAACAAATGGGACAGCCAATTGTGTTAAATACTGCACTCGTGCGGGGTAGCCGTCAACGCCATTCACTGGGCTCGATGGATGAACAACTTAGCTCAGGTTGTTCGGGTCTCAGGGCTTAGCCGCAACTCTTAGCCGAAGCAACGTAGCTTTTACATTTCCTATCGAGCAGTCTACTCGATAGAAAGCCGGCTCTTACCAGTCCGGCATGCTCTTCATGGGAAAAATATAATAGGCGGAATATAAGTTGGTAATGGTCGATGAGGACCGAGGGATTGATGAGTGCACGCTGCACACTGTACAAAATGGGGCACCTATGCCATTCTAAGATACGCCTCAATAGAAGGAATTACACTCAATGGGGCAACTATGCCATTCTAAGATATACCTCAAGATAATCCACTCTACCAAATGGGGCAGCTATGCCATAGGTCACTACAAGCAATGTCTCGGAAGCCAGCCATATTGGCAACTTCTCCTTTTCACGAATGTACGGAGGTAGAACCCAAAGACTCGAGGAGAATGTTCATCGTAATACGATGGCATGGCCAATACTATTAGCATGATACTCCCGTTACTCACTAGTAGTGAGTACGGGAATCATGCTAATAGTATGTACGCCGTACATTGTACGGGAATCATTATGCTACTATGGTGAACACTGTATGCATCTGATGCATATAGTGATGCATTGCATTGCTAATCCAAGCGTTCAGTTCTGCTGAAAACATCGGTATTATAATCAAAACACCAGTGTTCAAACGATGACCTCAAAGTCACGACTCTCGGACCAGACTCCTTAGAACGTACAAGGCATTGCAGGTCGAGGCCTCTACCCTCCCAAGACAGTCTCGCAAGAACCCTGTACAAACTTGATTCACTTGTTGGTGAGTCCAGTGACGAACGCAAATCCCAAGAGAATAGAATAGAAAAAAATTTAAACAGGCATGTCGAGCAAAGTGAGCAGCTTTTCGTCTCTGAAGGCTTCGCAAATGTTGGAGCCAGAGTCTCTAAGGCAGGATAATAAACTGATAGCGTTCTAATGGCACATCTATACACAGATGATCATAGTGGATTAGCCTTGAAGATGTTGTTTGGGTGTACTGCTGTGTCAGAGCAACGGGTTGCTCCTGCGAGGAACAACGATTGAAAATACCTCCTGGCCGGTCTTATGCTCGGAGAGAGTGCGCTTCGTTTGCTGCGAACAACAGTCCGTCGAGAAGAGAGTGATTTACGCTGAGATTAGCAAGTCGTTCACCAGCGACCGTCGCTCGCACTATATTCCTAGACGTCCTGTCAACTCCACTCAGTCGGTTGCGCTCAATAGACTTGCCAAGCTTCACTCACCGATTTTGAAGTACACGCGCATCCGGTGATATTCGTGCCCTTGCCCTGTTTAGCCTTCTAACCGGATCCTGATTTCTCCTCAAGAGCTTTAGGAGCTCCGCGTCTGTTCGAGGCACTGATTACAATAGACAAACTACTCAATCGTTCCTAGGAGATCCAGGCTGAATCACTCAGCAGACGAATTGTCGACTTGCTTCTTACGGTAAGAAGCAAGTCGACAACTCGTCGACAACTCGACATGGGTAAGAATCTTACCCATGCGAGAAAGGATAAAACAAGACTGACAAGCGCACTAAGGAGGAGAAGACTGGTCGTATGGAGTCTCATACGGGAAAGCGCCAGATCGCATGCCGGAAGAAAGGGAAGGAAGTTTCTCCAAGAAACCGAACACCCATCAAGACTCAGTCGGGGTGAAATTGCAGCTGCGCGTCCCTACCTCGGGGCTTGGGAAGCAGTTCATGAGCAGGTCGCTCGATCGCAAAAGGCTCCCGCAGGCATGGGAGTGAGACTCGTTGAGCTGAGTGTGAGCGGGCTTAGGCTAAGCCGCTTGGACTGCTAGTAGCGCCTCTCAGCTGACCATAGCGGGTTCCGGGAGTGGCCAGGTTTAGCTTGTTAGTACTACTAAGTGAGCTTTCATTGGTCGAAATTGGTCTTGTGTTCGACGAATTTGAACTTGCGTGTCCGAATTCATAGATTTAATGTACGAATTTGAGCTTCCATTTTCAATTGGTCTACGAAAACCGAACTTTCATTTCGCATTTGAACTTTTGTTTCGAGAAAAACTCCTTTCACTCGTCGAAAATCAAATCTCACCAACACCTATCTAATTTGTTCTTTCACTTGTTGAATTTGAGATTGAAAAGCATTAAACTTGATATTCCTTACCTCTCCGTAACGATTCATACTGTAGTCTCTGTATAGGGTTAGTGAACTTACTACACAGTCTGTGTATAGATGAGGTTACCTCATTGAGGTAGTGTCTGAGATACTACCTCATCTTTGATATTGCCGTTATTTCATAACTGGTCATGGAGTCTGTCTATGATTTCCGTCGAGACGGTATTTTGACAACCGACTCAGTCGAACCGACCTTATCGACACAAGTCCTTCCGTCAGTGTATCTTCATGTTTGTGCTCCACGCAGTTGTTGTGACTCAATCTCCCTCGTAATATGGTAAGGTAGTGAGAAATGGTGGTCTAACAGCCCAAAGTCTTGTTGGAGGGAAGAATAACGAAAACCGGGACAACTTTATCGAAGCACTTTTATCATTTTTTCTCATTCAATGAGACTCATTACAATGAATGATATCACCGGCATGATATCACCGGATCATGCGGCTCAAGGAACTGATGAGCGCTGGCGAAGTCGCTGAGATTGCGAAAAAGGTTCTTTTAATTTCCAAGAAGAACGCGCCCTATTGTCTGCGTTCTTCTTGTACCCTACTGAATGTCATCGCTACTCCGGCAGCCGGAGTCCGGCTATATTGGACCCTTCCATGGAGTAGTGGGATGCGAAGGTTGGGTCAAGTGTTACTTCAAATGGGGTTGAGGGGGGCGAGATGGACAAAAACCAGCATTGTGCTGTGTAACTTATCAGGTAATGGTAGCTGAGGTGGATATGATGATGCTTTCATAGTGTTGAGTTCCCACTGGACGCTCGACGAGTGTCACTCGTTACGAGTGACTCGTACAACGCCTTCCTTCAGTGCCCTCGTTTCTCTCCCGGCCCTCTTCCTTCAGTTCTTTCGTTGTGGGGTGTCACTTGTACTATACTCATTTGCATCATAGTATCCTATGGAACAGATTTAATGGGTCTATTGTGTTCAGTGTGGGGTAGGTTCTACGTCGCAACTTGTGGAGGAAAACAAGTTTCTGAGTAAGGAACACGGACCGGTGGTCCGCGACGTGCACAATCTACTCGTCGTTGTCGTTTTGTAAGATCTGTAGATGATCTGATGATCAATGATGATCTAATCATCATTGTTCGTTTCACGAACTAACCCGTTTAACAAGCGACCATCTCTCTCCGAACTGATGATGCCCGAACGCCGCACACATAGGCAGCTCACACACTGGAATCTTGGCAGACATATCTTTGACTGAGACACCATTTGCGCATGTGCATTGTAGAATCCTCTATTGGCCAGCATAGGGGGCAATATTGCCCCCCGTGAGGCCGAGCAGCATGGGTATACTAGAAGATATCTCAACTGTGCTTAACTTGGCCGGTAAACCTCCTTAGACTCGATAGCTTGCACAAATACAAAATACAGCCAGGCCGCGTTCAATATGGACGAGACGAGCGCAACGGCTAATGACGGCTAAGACCGTCACGGTTCGTGAAGGTCTTCTTTTCATTAGGCAAAGCCGTGGATCACGGATGATTCATACCAACCAGACGCCCCTATCGTAGTCTGATCCGCATAGTCGAGAGTGGCAGCTCCGGTGGAGCCGGGAGCTGCGGAGCTGCTCCAGCAGCCGACAAGGGCGCGGCGTGAATTGCGGAGCGAGCAAAGCGAGCGGAGCATATACCGCAACAACAGACACTTTCGCGTTGTGCGTGCGTGCGTGATAAAAATCATTCAGACCGAACAACCGGGAGCATCAGATAAGTCAAAGGAATTCTCTATGCCCGGCGGTTTGCAGAAGAATCAAAGAACTCGACTACTCCCACAGCTTCAAGAAATATGTGCGAGAATGTCCCGGGGATCGAACCGGGGACTAACTTCAGGATCGAGTTTGGTGCACGATTCGAGATATATGACTGTCAAATGACTATGACGAGCGCAATTGAAAATCACGTTTGATCATCGCATCTCCACAACGATCATTGTTTCCCAACATCTCAATCAAAGGTTGCGGACTGATCGAACTCCGCTCCTTCGTCACGAAGGCCTAGTGAGCAATGTCATGATCATGGACTCCATTCGGCTGAGTACTAGGTTAATCCTGAAATGAAGCAGAGCAGTTCCTGCCATAACAAGTTCTTATTATCAACGACAAACGCCCATGCCGCCCAAGGCTGATGATCGCCTTACACATCGTGGGCTTAAATTAGATGGTAGCTCTTCGTGCTTTGACAATCTCTGACGGCTCTAGGTCGAATACTGTCGAAGCCATCAACAGCTGCCTCGTTCCCATTGTCAAACAGACCCTAGCATAGGCCTTGTCACGATGTTTGGAGGTGCTGGAACAACTTGAATTGAATTTGATACCTGAGAGCCTCAGGTATCACCTCAGGCTGAGGCATAGGATCCTCTACAACGGATGAGTAGTCGCAATGTACTTGGAATATGGAAATGCAATGACTATCCAGAAAGACATACAGAGCGGATCACAATCGAAACTCGCTCACCCCTGAGAGCCGAGTTTGACTTAGCTACATTCTATCAGCTTCTGTCCTCGTGTCATTCCCTTCTATCCTCTCTAAGACCCTCCCATGTTTTGTGCAATAGTAGCATTAACCTCGGCTTCATCGGGCGCGAGTCGATGCAGGTCGGGTATCCGCAGTATTGAACTGGGCACCCCCGAAGCTTCGTAGTCTTTCCAACAAACGGCCCTTCTCGCTGAAGAGTCATACCACTGCTTACCTTCAAGGACGCAGAAGCGGCGTCAATGTCTTCAGTTCGAGGCATGGTAACTTATGAAAAACCCACACTCCGCACTCCCTGGCAATTCCATTGCTTCCCTCTGAAATCACTCAAATGTAGGCGGTGAGCGAGTTTGTTTAGTTGCGCGGCGGTCCAGTGGATGATGAGCTCGACATGGCTGGAAGTGCGACTCAGTCTCTATAGAGTGATGCCTGACTGCTCTAACATTTGTGGAACTCACTGTGGAACTAATGTTAATATCTAGTTTACCGCAATGCAGAGATAGCTTACGGTGAGTGGGGGGAATGCTCGCAAACTTCACACACAAAACGTAACATCCATGCTGTATCGCCTGCGTGAGCAAATCACACGTGGCGTGTGCCAGCGTCGATATCAGTGGCCCACCGATTACAGTCTCGGCTCATGTCGAACGTGGGACTTTCGAATCCCCGACTCTGAGTATCAAGCATTAGGTCTAGTTTCTGCCAGACGAATGGACGACGAATCCATATATACGTATGCAAATAATAATGCTGCAAGACCCACACTATGGATCCCACAGTCTCACACTTAACGTGCACTTGAGAGTAGACACTATAATACACTTGAGTCCATGAGCCACATGACCTACGGTATTGAGCAGTTTGGATTGGATGATCCAAACCGCTGATCCAAACTATGGATGATCCATAATGGATCAGCTGAATGCTGATAGGCGGGATTGGTATAAACTGTGAGCTCTCAAAGCCGTGAAATTACAGGACACGAGCTTACCTCTGCATTACTGAATCGACAATGTACACGATCGTGATCCACGGCCGCTTGTCACTGTAAGGAACCCCCCCCACAGTGACGGTGTGACTCCTGTTGGCCTGTTAGTCAGCCGCGTTATATCGATTTACTATGTGTAGTTCGACTCCACTCGTCTACTATTAGCTCCTCTTTTGTCCGAGTCGGACAGCCCGACTGTATGGCCCTACCAGTGTGAAGTGGAAAGATGGACGCTGTCTATCTAGCACTGCCAAGCGTGTTCACGTGTATATGTGTCCACGTGTGGATTCCTTCAAGGATTACCGCTGGCACTCTCGCCAGTCTCGTTGGCTGTAATCAACTAATATCTGATATCTGTCTTCCCCTTACTGGCATCGACTAGGTTGAGTGCCAATCGACGACCTCAACGCAAAACGCGCCTCTGATCTCATTTCACCCAGCTCGGGCTCGTACACGTATAGAATAGACGTACACGTGCAAGTATAGCTGTACAGTCCGCCCGTTTACAACGAAGTTTATCCAGGAGTCCTCGTATTCAACACAAAGTGTTGTAGCAAAGCAGGAACGGTAACACACCACGGCAGCGTGAATAGGGTGTCACCGCCTCCATGTTACTGAGGTTTTTTTCTTTTCGCTGTTCGAGAACTGCCTCCTTCCTCACTACAACCGTCGAATTCTCATCAACAAACTCTTCAGGTTAAGTCTCATTCGTAATGCCTTCCGCCTACGGCCTCTTCTTGTTTGCCATCTTGACGCAAACAGCCACCCAGGGAAAACCTGATCTCCCTTACCAGGTTACTGCTGACTATCCACCCAGGTGTTATGAAGGCCCTGGTCCAGGTGATGGAAGCAACATTACCGATCTTCAAGCGCCGTGCTGCATTTACAACATGAAGGGATACACATTCGATGGGGTTCATAGAGAAACTGCCGGTATCATACTCGGAACCAACAGGCCTAATTCATCTAGCATCATGCAAATGAACGTCACTTTGATGCTTAACCTCTCCCTGCCCTATCCCGTACTCCTTGGTGTCGAAATTAAGACGTCTGGTGTGGCTTACATGAGTGTCGGAGATGAAACCCGAACAATCTACTTGACCATAGGCCAAATCAACATGAATCACTCCTATGGCACTGGAATGCCTGTCAACGTTCCGATTATTGAGGCTGGTTGGTTCCCTAACAAGGTGAAAACTTGGGCGAGCAGTTCTATAAAAGGTCCAGCTGAAGACTACGGGCTGCGGATAAGTGCTTTATACAGCCCCTGGACTAATGCAGTCGGTGCCAAGTTAGTCTCATCAGTACAAATTTACATGATGAAGAGCAGAAATGGTTGGGACTACAAGTTCGAGTATCTCTTAAAAGATTCGGCTCATAAACTCCGAGATTACCACAAGTATGCTATCCTCGGTAATTTGCAGGACAATTTTATAGTGTGATTCACACTGTGTGAATCTACGCAGCATCATGATTCTATGTCTACGCGGTGCGGTGAGGTGGGCGGGGATAGTCTCTCTACCACAATTCTGATGCTTTACGCACCGTTCATATATCTTGAATGATACGAAGACTTTAAACGAAACCATTTATCTATTTTCCCGTTTTTCATATCCTTCTTCAGTATAGCGGTAATGTGGTTCGCGGACTCCTGCTTCCCATCTCTCATCGGGATGCAGGTCTACGCATCGCTGCGTATCTAGTTTGTTCACGAGCGCATTTCTCGAGAAGCGCCAAAGTGAAGATTCCGCTGGGCTCATGGTCTACTATTGCTAGGCTATCACTGATTATGTAGTGGCTGATTATGGTATTGAACAAGACCAATATGATACGCTTCCATATCTTTCAATACTGTGGATGTTGCTGCGTTCATATATGAAGGACACTAAGTGAGTGCCACTCACAAGGTCAAATTGGCTTGTTACGATGAGACTTCATCGGTCGAAACACCTGATCCGATCAGACTGATCGTGCACCTCTCTATTTTAACCTTCGTGTCCCTGGACGCTACATGATACTTTTGGAAATCCGTTGCTTGCCAATGCTCTCGGCCGTACCACATACGCTACTTTGGCAGATTCGCTAGCTAAAAACTAGTAATTGAGATGGAAACAAACAGGCGCGATGAAACTATTGCGTGATCGGCGACAAAACAACAGTACCGACCTGCATCTGTTCCTCAGCCATGATTAACACAACAGTAGAGCTTGGTGGGTGAAGAGCCAGGTCAGGTCAAGCCTGACTCAAGCCTGACTCTGTTCCTCGGGTCTTACGGAGATGCAGAGGACAAAAGGAGGATTGATCATTCAAGTCGCCTAAATCTAATCCATGTGAGTGCGAATCCGTAGACGAGACCGGCCTGGCAGTTCCGGGCCACTCTGGGAGTAAGACGGACGGACGGAAGGAATTTGCAAAGGAGACGAGTGGTAAATGCGAAACCAAATGCAACTCTCTCAGCGGTTCGGTTGAATCCGAGCCACGAGAAATGAGATTAACAACTATTTGAGCTACGGAGGAGTGCATTACAGCGAATCTTTCCGCCACAATTCTAAAAAAGCAGTTCAGCACCAACTGTAGAGTCGTTAAGGCCTCTCCGTAACCGTAAACTGCTTACGCTACGCACGCCGTAACGTAAACTGTAGAAAACGTTACGCTGCCCATCTATAAGCCTGAGCTCATATCGTGTTTCTCCCTCAGATACTTATGCATTATTATCATAGCGATATGCGAAGCTATGTATACGTTTGAGATAGCTCATCTCAAATGAGTAATACCACGCTCTCCAAATGTCTTTTATGTTTCCCTTTCAGATGCTCGTACGTTTCTCGGGAGATCCGTTGGCATAAAACGCAGCATGGTTATGATGATATACGACGCTATACGTACGTTTGAGATGAGTGATAAAGCTCTTTTTATTTTCGTGGGAGATTGTGTTGTAGGGTGGCACGAATAAGTTCCTTCCAATTATTACCTTCGGAAAGATGAAGGAAATTCAGAAAATTCTTTCAGGCAGGAAAAATAAAGAAAAAAAATCCGAAACGACCATAAATGGGCACAAAAATCCCAAAAAACAAGAGGTCTCACACCAGGTGATGTCTGGGATATATGCCTGTGTTAGTGGTCTCGGTTAGACTGAGAATAGGGGAACCTTGTTCGCCAGGATGATCAAAGATTTTTGTAGCGAGCGAGAATTCGATTCGCACTTTCACTGGAAGGCCCAGCTTGCGGTTTCAGACTGAAACTTTCAGTTTTTGCATGGCACTTCGCACCAGGATCGTTTTATTCAAGCGGGAAATGCTGCATTCTCACAAGCAGGACACGGTGGAGTATCAGCGTAGCATACTCCAAAACAAACGGATAGGTATCCCTGACGCAACATATAGTTTTTCCTTCAAACTTCAAATTTCCTTCCGGAGGGAACAATTTTTCTATTTTTCCTTCCGCGTGCCCACCTGTTGTGTTGTAAGCCTCAACTCGGAATCGGTTGAATAATAACGTCCTGAAGCAACATGAAGAATGGTTTGTGGTTGACAAACTTTTTCCCATCGATTTTGGGATTCACGCTTGTTCTAAGCCCGACTTGACGATTCTTCCCTTTCCCTTTTTTCCCTTTTCCCCCTCCTTTTCCCTTTCTTTCCACCCAGCCGTGCGGTAGAGGTATCACGTCTACTTCGCATGCAGAAGGTTCCGAGTTCAAACGTCCATTCTCAGAGATCAGTTGCTTCGGTAAACTGTTGACCCCCAAAAGAATGACTGCTAGATACTGCTTGCTGGAGTGCGTATTATCACTCCTAATATTCCGATCCACAAATATCATTCGTTCCCCATAAACGAAGCTCACGATAACTGAGTTCGCGTGCCTTGTACAGACATCACGTGCTCTGGAGAAAACCATATCTACTGTCGCCGTTCATGATATACCTTCAACTCAAGTCGCCAAGTTCACTACGTTGATACCAATGAGTTATCTACTAACAGTGACAAAACAGAAAAGCGCGCTAGGAGGATTAGATGAATAATAAACGCGCGTGTAATGCAGCAGAATGCCCAAGAATATGCTTGAGTAAACTGAGCGCGCATCATACCTGTCACTACTGCGACATGAAAAAAGAATAACTATGCGTATTTGATACAATAAAAATGCTTCTGATAAATATTGAAAAATACACGATTCTGATGTTCAAGTATGCACATATGTCTTCATCTGAGAATATCATATTTTGTATTTCCCAACAGACAGACCCTTGTTGCCTGCTAGAATAGCCGCTAATTCTTTGCTGTTTTCTTCAGCAGCGATAGAGAACCGCTCTTGTTGAACTATCTCAGTGACGAGCGAACCTCGACTACTTTTCTTCCTCGCAAGCGATTGCGACGCCTTGTGCCCATCCTGGTTTAAATTTAGTCTGTGGATCTCAGGAAAGAACTCAGAATCCGTGAGAATGAATATCTTCAATAAAATGCCAGCAAGTGTGAAAAACAGCTCCAATGCTGCGGCCATGCCAACCAATAGAAACTCGTCGTAAATCTACTGTACTGTTTTTTCGTCACCAATTTCTCCGCTTTCCTCACTATTCTTCCAGGAATCTCCTCCAACAAAGGGTAGATCTCCAGACCATACGATTCCACATAAGCACAATTACGCGCATACACTCTCACAAAGCACGTCGCGCCTTTCGGACTGGAACCAAACCTACAGCCCTGCAGATCAGCTCCTTCCGAAATCGCCACATCGAACATTCCAGAGCAACCTGCTTTCAAATATTCGCCTCCGATCGGGCCCGATTTTTCCACACAAACTAGCACAGCAGGAGACGAGACGTCAGAATATACTTTTTCGTAAACTGTGGTCTCGGTACCTTCATTACTCAACCGAACAGTCTGAAAAACAACACGAATAGAGAAAAAATTGGTTATAATTTTCTTACTTGGAAAACTAGTTCTCGCGAATATTTATAATCATAAGACACTGAAATGACGCCCGCATACGAGCCGTTCTCCGTTCGACTGACTCAGAAATTTCTAAAAACAGATGACCGCACTTACTCAATTATATTCACGCATTCACCATCTGAGCTGTACGTGCCCGAGCACCCGGGCGCAGCAGGCTTCTTTTCAAAATATTCATTCACATCTGGGAACCACGGATATCTACACAGGAACTTATAGTCTTTTGAGCAAACTTCAATATACCACTATCGGATTCGCCAACCTCGAGCTCAGCAAAATACCCTCACCGGAAACGACGCAGATATGAAAAATACAAATGATATGAAAATGCAAAGAATATGCGTTTTCTATGCTAAGATTAATGATAGTGAACAACTTGTCCCAGAAGATTACTTTTACATCACAAATGTCTATATAGTTTACGATCGATTTTCACTAATCCCGAAAAATAGCAAAAAAAATATTGACATTTGCATATCAAATCTATGCGCACTATACAGTGACCGACTACAACAACCATCTCCACAGATTAAATGATTGGAAAAATGAAAACCCCAAAGTGCGCTTGAAAAGACATAGCAAGGTCCTCCACGAACAGTCAAAAACATATCAAGATGCATGACATTAAAAAATATACAAAAATCGTCTCACACGCAGCAGCTCGGCACAGTTCCGTTGAGGTGACAGTCTTCTGCTGATTCCGCATTGAACAGAAGGCACACTGAAAAAAAATCGCATATCAAAACACGAGATAGATAACCTACATGCTAATGTGAGAGCAACCAACAACCCTCCTCGGAAAATTGTCTGACTCGTAGGCGGCCAACGCCAAAGCACGACGCTGAATCTGAATGAAAATTCAGTGAAGTTTCACTCGTTTTACGTGAAGTGGCGTGAAACTCTGTGAAACGCGATATTCGCGGTGATATGCAGTAGTCGCGAAATACGTCACGGGTGAAACTCCAGTGTTAAAAAATATGCACAACATGATCAACCAGTTTTGGAGGAATATAAGTTCGATATCCTCAGCTGAGCTCAAGAGTTTCCTCACTAATTTTTAGAAATTCGGACGGACGTGTACAGAAACCAATAGGAACTCCCCGAGTTTTCCTCTCAGAATTTTCGTATTGTCACCGACACCTGTAGCTGACCATGCACATATATTTCCCAAACTACGTGTGTTGATGACACTATGAAAATTCCAAGAAAATTTTGGGGAATTCTTCTTAATAAAATTTCTCAAAAGGTAATTTCTTATTAAAAATTCCTGAGCTCGGCTGTAAAACCGAACAAATATTCCTCCAACACAGTGAACAACCTACGCTGTTAAAGCAATAGGAGCTATAATGGAGAGCATCGAAATAACAAAGGTAACCCAACGGTCCTGCACCGCCGCCGCGTTAATCTCGGATAAGTAATATCTACACCGTCAACAATTTCAAATAAAACTCTTTGTAATAATACGACTTACACATTACTAACGACTAAAGCGGTGACAACTAAGGAAACATCGTAATCGAACGGCGAGTAAGTGTCGGGATCGATATCAAGCTCGTCTCGAGGGATTCCCCATGCAAACGAGGTTGATCTGAAAGTAGACAGTGCAGTATGGGAAAATATGCGTATGACCGCGACTACGTGTATTTTTGATAACCAAGAAATCACCGAGGAAACTTTAGGTTTCTTATGTGAACTTCTATTTATAACTAGTGGGGAAGCTCCCGAGCCGAGCCGAGGAAAGCAAACATATATTCTTCCAACACTGTCTCCAAACGCGAGGTTCAACATTGCAGATGACCGAAGCCAGTGTTGGAATATATCCTTGCTTTCCTCAGCTAAGCTCAGGAGTTTCCTCGTAATTATAGGAGATTATAGTAGAAATGCACATAAACCAAAAACAACTTTCGAAAATTTCCTCAGAATTTACATCCATTCACCGACACATGCATTCGACCATGTGCATATTTTAACACATTAACCGAAACTAGTCTACTATCATTTCATATACCCCTTATAAGAATACGTACAACTCCAACGATGTGAGAGATAAAGCATATGGTTAACTACACGTGTTGGTGGCCATGTGGAAATCCTGAGAAATTCTCACACTTTTTCCGTATTCGTGAAGTAAATATACAAAAATATAGTGACGAAACTTCTGAGCTCGGCTGAGGAAAGTGAACGTATATTCCTCCAACACTGGAGTTTCATCCGTTTTACGCGAAGTGGCGAAAAACTCGGTGAAAAACGCGATATTCGCGATGATAAGCAGTAGTCGTTAAGTATGTTTTTCATATCACTATGGTGGAACTCCACTGTATCGAAACATTCAAGATGGCTTCAAATATCAAATTATGAATTCACATACAATCCCCATGAAAATCCACCTTACCTTTTAACAAAACTTTTCTTCTGAGGGTGACGATTGATGTGCCAAAACCAGAGTAGAAGCAATACCAAAACACCTCCGGCAACTTGCAATGACGAAAGCACATACGGGTAAGATACTGTAACCCAGCCGTCCTGGTTGAGGCCAACCGCGTGGTCGAACTCCCTTGTAAAACAATACCAGGCAAACAGGGCGACCACTAAGCCGACCGCTGCTAACTTTAAAAGGCCTTGAGGACGCAGATCGGGGCAAATACCAGGGTGCATGTGGTGACCGAGGACTATCGCACCTGTAACAAAATATGAAATCAAATGGAAAATTGGGGAAAAAAGGAGACAAAATAGAGGAAACCACAATTATAAAATTCTTCTAAATGTATAATAATCCTGTAGTGGGGTTTTACCCGTGATATAAAAAACCTATTTCACGACTACTGCATATCACCGCGAATATCGCGTTTTTAACCGAGTTTTACGCCACTTTACGTAAAACGAGTGAAACTTCATTGTATGAATCAATAACGATGGGCAGGTTCTTATCATCTCCGACAGCGTTGATGTTATTGTTATGGAGTTTTACCCGTGATATGACAACACTAGTGAAAAGTATATTTCACATTTCACTTGGCGAGAAACGAGTGAAACTCCACAGTTCGGCCGCATTTTGCGGCATCCACAGGGGCACGAGAGTATGCCACAGTTTTCATGTGATATATTCATACCAAACTGTTCAGCGCAAGAACTTTGCATCTACGACG